CTAAGGCCGCTCTCCTCTGGTCTCAAGGCCCTGAGGTCGGACGAGAAGAGCAGCGTCTACACAACAAGCACCGTGCAGACGCGCCCCGGCTGCTGGACTTGGCGCTGGGCCCAACCGGCTGTTTGGAATCTCTCCCGGCGCTTGGGGTTGTGGTTTGCTTCCCCTTTGCCCTCTTGTCGTGAAATTGGCCAAGTGTTTAAGGCCCGGAGAGAGCCCGATCCGCTTATCCTCGGCTATTGAGTAGCAGGCGCGGACGCCCCCCCCCCAAGGAGAACTCCCGGGACGGCCGCGCGGGGGGACCGAGAAGGCAGCGCTGGCCCATGCCGGGCCGGCTTTTAACCTTCTCCGGGAGGCTGGCCGCGGTTTCGGGCCGTGAGGAACGGCCAGGAGTTCTAGGTTGAAATGGGGCGGGGGGGGCGGGGACCGCGGGCCTCAGCCCAGATGGTCCGTCTCCACGTCGCCACGACACCCGTGTACCAACCGGCGACCGAGACCCACCCGCCCCGCGCCTCCCCACCACTCCCCCTCGCTTCCAGGGAGGGAGCCAGCGGGGCTCTGCTCAGGTTGCTTTCCCCAAAACCCTCCTGACCTCTGGGGCCCCAGCTCCACACGGGCGGGGAGGCGGCCCGGGGACTGAGTGCAGAGCACGTATGTCCGCTCCCCGTGGGAGGCGTGTGGACAGTGGGAAGACCCCAGCTCGGGCTGTGAGGGACGCAGGCTGGTAGGGGGTGTGGTTGGGGCTGGGTGGTGGGGCTGGGTGCTGAGGCTGGGTGCTGAGGCTGAGTGCTTAGGGCTGGGTGCTGAGGCTAAGTGCTTGAGCTGGGTGCTGAGGCTGGGTACTAAGGCTGAGTGCTCAGGGTTAGCTGCTGAGGCTAGGTATTTGAGGCTGGGTGCTGAGTTCTCAGGCTGGATTCTGAGGCTGGGTGCTCGGGCTGAGTTCTCAGGCTGAGTGCTGAGGTTGGGTGCTGGGGCTGTGTGATTGGGCTGGGTGCTCAGGCTGGGTACGAAAGCTGGGTGCTCAGGCTGGGTGCTCAGGCTGAGTGCTGAGGCTGGGTACTGAGGCTGGTAGTGAGGCTGGGTGCTCAGGGCTGGGTGCTCAGGCTGGGTACTGAGGCTGGGTGCTCAGCGCTGAGTGGTACCCTCTCTCCCCCTCACAGCTCCATGGGGACAGGCCCCCACGGTGCAGACGGGGCGGCTGAGGCTCCGGGAAGTCACCGGCCCGAGGCCACTCGCCATATGAGGAGAGACCACGTGTCTGCCTGCAGAGAGGGGGGGCCCCAGTGAGCCCGGCCCGGTGGCAGGCAGAGCTTCCCGGGGGAGGGGCCCCCGACACCCACGCAGGGCCCCCCGTGGAGGGAGCTGCACGCCCTGCGGCACCCGAGAGCCGTCACACGCTCGCTGCACCCTCGCCTGGCTCAGGCGGCTCCCGGCAGCCTCCAGCACCTCACCCAGGCCCTGCCGCCGCCCGCCCAAGCCAGAGCCAGCCTCAGTGGTCCAGGCTGCACCTGGCCGGGCAGCCACTGAGCACGGGTTCTGGAGCCATCTGTCCGGGGTGGGGACAGGCCCTGATTGGCCGGGGGTGGAGTGTGAAGGCGGGCCCCCCCAGCGGGCCGCACAGCCCGACCACACTCCGGCAAGGCGTGGTGTGCCCTGGCTGTGCCCTTCCTTTCCCACGGTGGCTGATTTAGAAACTCCCGGAGCAGCCGGGTGTTTGCTCAGGACGCGGATTCTCCGAGGCGGAGACCACAGATGCCCACGCCCAGGGCGGCCCCGGCAGGAGCGAGGCCAGGAGGAGCAGGCGTGGCAAACTCGGGGCTGCTCTGCGGGAGAGAGAGCCCTCGGCTGCCGCAATCCTAGCAAACGCCCCCTCTCCCACCCGCGACAGGAACAGGAAACACGAGTGCGTGATGAACCGCGCTGCCGGTGTCGGGGGGCCGTGGGGGGCGGCAGGACGGTGGCAGCCACGCCAGCCCGCAGGCCACGCTGCCGCCAGGACCGGAGGCTCGGCGTGGCCACATCTCCTCTATCTATATTTTCTTGAACCGGAAATCCAAATTTTTAGATAACACATCTGGGTTTTGAAATATTGACAACCAAGTTTTTTTGGTTTTTTTTTTTTTTTTTTTTTTTTGTCTTTTTAATTTAAACTTCCGTGAGCTAAGTGCAGCTTGTGCGCCGGCCGGAGGCAGCCTCAGACCCCGGTGTGCGGCCGTCTCACTGAGTTGCTCTTTCCCTGCACCCGCCAGGGAGTGGTTTTTCCCAGGTGCACCTGCCCCAGGTCCCAGGCGGGCACCCCACAGGCACCCATGGCCCGGCCACTCCCAAGGACCCTCCAGAGCCGCGGTCCCCAGCCCCCGGGCCACAGACTGGTCCCGGTCCTCCATGGCCTGCTAGGAACCTGGCCACACGGCAGGTGAGCAGCAGGTGAGCCAGCAAAGCTTCACCTGCATTTACAGCCGCTCCCATCGCTCTTGTCACTGCCTGAGCCCCGCCCCTGCCAGACCAGCGGGGCATCAGACCCCACGGGAGCAGGAGCCCTGCTGTAACTGCGCGTGCGCGGGGGCTAGGTCGCGCTCCTGTGGGAACCCGACACCAGGTGATCTGGGGCGGGGCTGGGCGGTGGTGCCAGCGCAGGGGAGCGGCTGCAGACACAGACCATCAGCAGGGAGGTCTGACTGCGCAGTACCCGTGACGCGCTTGCATCATCCCGAAACCTTCCCCAATGCCCCCAGTGCGTGGAAACATGGTCTTCCCTGAAACCTGTCCCTGGTGCCAGAAAGGCAGGGGCCCGCTGCTCTAGAGGAACGGGGGTGGGGGTGGGGTGCCGGGCAGCGGGCGGCAGGGAGGCACCGGGCCCCTGGAGGACGGCGGAGCCGCGTGGTCCTGGGCTCTGGGTTCCTGCCAGCTCGGCCGCTGTGCCACCCCCAACTCCTTTCCCCATGGCACAGCCGACAGGTGCCTGTCCCACCTGAGACCAGCAGACTGCCACCTTGGGTGGGAACACAGGGACAGAGGCGGGGGCTGCGTTGCCCTCGCTGGGCCCAGGGGGCTGCCACAGGCAGGCCCTGTCCCGGCACCCCAGCCTCATCCCCCAGTCCTGCCTGTTCCAACCTCCCTCCACGGCCTTCCCGCCTGCGCCTTCTCCACGCCAGCACCGTGGCCGCAACGACAAGGAACGCCAGGAGGCCACGAGTGAGCCCCTCCCGGGTCCTGGCTGGGCCAGGCCGGGAGCCCATCCGCCATGGCTTCCGCCACGGCTTCCCCCTCCCTGCGACTGGTCCACGGAGGTGACAGAAATCCGGCTCCCACCCGCCCACGTAAATCAGGCTATTGGCTGACACAGCACGCACGTGGCGCCGTGGCTCCCAGAGAGAGCGTGTCTCTGTCCCTGGTCCCTCTGCCCTGCGGAGCGGGCTCGGCCACCCACGCCCTCGTCCCGCAGCTCTCGGGCTCTCAGTGCCGGTGTCAGGCTGGAGCCCGGACGAGACGAGCCCTCGAAACACCACACCGGGAGCGGCCTGAGAAACACAGCTTCACGCCGCCATTTCACGCGGCCACACGGATGCCGGAATGGCTCCGACCCGCGGGCCGGGGCTGCAGGCCTGTCTCCCCGGCTCTGCCCCGGCTGGCAGCCCAGCACGCACCGCCACGCCTGCCCGATGGCCACATACCGAGACACAACCACACACGTGTGAACACATGTTCGCATGCATGAACACACGCACGATTGTGGCCTTGTTTTATAAAAATGGGATACGTGTCCACTCTCTTCTACATCTTGCCCTTGTCACATAATGGTATCTTGGAAATCCTTCCAAGGATGGATTGTAATTGCAAGGCAGGATTGTAGTTCGTGCTTTAAAGCTTGCACATCACTTGAGTTCATCATCTCTCTTTTAGTAGAGAGATGAACAGTCTTCCTTAGCATAGGTGCGTTGAATTTACGCAATCATCAGTGCTGTCGCTATTAGTGCTCTGCCATTCTGCCATTTCTACTGTGAATCGTGTTGCAGATCTTGCCTTACTTACACTTTCTTTTGTCATCTTGTTTTCTCCTCCCTTTAATCCGCTAACCCTCCCCTGGGCAACATTCCCGGAGCACCACTCCCGGCCGGCCGGCTGTCTAGGGGCCCACCCAGGGGCGCTAGGCGTGGGGAGGCCAGGAGAGCGTCTCGGGCAGAAGGGTGGGGCGATGAGACGCAGGTGTGCACTGAACCTGCACCCGGGACCGGGGGCCAGCGGGGCCAGCCCTGCGCCCGGCAAGACTTGAGACCCACGCCAAAGAAACACGGTCTCTCAGGGCGTTTTTGCTAGTTCTCTGAACGCGCCGTGGGTTTGGTGCCTACTTATGCTATCGGCCTGAATTTTTTTATTTTTCATAACAATGTTCCTTTTTAGCATGGGTCATTTTCAACCATTTTCAAATCAACCCTTCCTGGCAACGAGTAGATGTGATTTCTCCCACGGCGACACCCACAGACTGCCTGAGTCCAGCGTCACCTGGGCTGGGTGGCGGCAGGTTTACCATCGCAAACGTTTGCTCTCTGGTCCCAGCTGTTCTGGCTTTCGGGGCTGCGCCCCCTCCCCGCCTCTCGACCACAAGCAGGACGCCCACGACCGCGGTTTCCCGCTGAGACTGGACCCTCCCCCCTCGCTCCCTCCGCACGGGACGTGGGGCTGGTCTTCCGTTCCCAGCACGGGGGGACCCGCCAGAGGCCAGGCTCTGCCCCCTGGTGTGACCTCCCAGGGTCCCCAGCAAGCCTGGTCTGCGGTTGCCACGGTGACAGCGCACCTGGGCAGGACCACACCACACACGGCCAATACACCCGTGGACTCATCACGTACGTGCCGGCGCCCAAACGTGGGAACCCTGGACCCCAGGAGCCAGGACAGTAGTAAGTTCGGCTTGTGGACACAACCCGCAGAGTGCGTGTGCCCACCTCCCTGCCCCCGCCTGCAGCCAGGCGTCTCCACGGCAACCCCTGCGGGACTGCGCTTACCTGCAGCGGGACCACCTGCATGAGGATGGCGAAGTTGGTGAGGTGCGTGCAGCGGCAGCTGGAGTAGCTGAGGTTCCCCGCGACCCGCGCACAGCCCTGGTCTGACCAGACGCCTTCCCCGGAGCTGCAGACACGGGAAGAGTCGGTCACGGGACAACACGGACCCTCGGCCGGGGCAGCAGCCCTCACCCACACGGGCCTGGCGCACTCACAGCGGCCACCAACACAGGTCAGGACGGTGCGGGGACCCGGGTCCCACCACCGCGCCGGCGAGAGCTGGGGAGTTGAAGGGAGCTGAAGCGAGCCGTCCCAGGGTCAGATTGGCCGAGACCCCAAGTCAGCAGAACGGGAGCCCATTGCTTGTTCCCACGATTAGCAGGACGTGGCTCGTTGACCGGCTGAAGAGACTGTTTCTCCAGGCAAACGGCCAAGAACCTGTGGCCTCGCACTCGAGCCAAGATTGCCTGGTAACCAGCACGCGGTGCTAGGCACTTGCAAGATGTTCTCGGATTCAGGGTCTCGCGCTCGAGCCGAGATTGTTGTTATCCGAAAGCAGTGCAAAACATCAAAGAGACCTCTTGTAGAAGGCCATGCTTTCTGCTTTGACCGGAAAAGCAGGTGTTGTTGGCCGTGGGAAGTCACGTACCAAAAAGTAGCTGGGAAAGTAGCTGGCACGAGAAAACAACCGTGGGACGAGTTTTGAAGCGCTGATGTTCGGCACAGTCCCTGCGCCAGCGGGGACTCGGCAGGAGCACGACATCGAGTGAGCCGGGAGGGGCCGTCCCCCAGCCTCTTTCTCCAGCCCCCCAACCCGGAGACCCCAGGACGGGGCCAGCCGCCTCACGTGCCCCCCACCCGGCGTCTCCACCAAACTGGTTGAAGCCCCTGGGCTCTAGGAGGCTCCGTCCCT